GAGAGAGAGAGAGAGAGAGAGAGAGAGAGAGAGAGAGAGAGAGAGCCGCCGTCAGCCGATGACTCCCCGCCTGGCGTCGTCCGCCGTCACGGTCAGTCTTTAAGAGAGCTGTCCGCAGTCGGCGATGACAACCGGTTGGCTGGTCCTTCCGCTGGAGCTTCCCACCGACTCCACCTTCGCGACGACGTCCATTCCCTGGATCACTTTCCCGAATACAACGTGTTTCCCATCCAGCCATGGGGTGGGTACCGTGCAGAGGAAGAACTGCGAGCCGTTGGTATTTGGCCCTGCGTTCGCCATGGAGAGTACGCCCGGCTCGGTGTGCTTGTGCTGGAAGTTCTCGTCCGCAAATTTTGCCCCGTAGATGGACTCCCCCCCTGTCCCATCTCCTCTTGTGAAATCCCCCCCCTGACACATGAACTTAGGAATCACCCGATGAAATGTGCACCCCTTGTAATGAAGCGGCCTCCCCGAGCGCCCCGTACCCTTCTCTCCCGTGCACAACGCGCGGAAGTTCTCTGCCGTCCTTGGCACCACATTTTTGTACAATTCCATCACTATCCTTCCCACCTTTCTTCCCCCTATCGTTATGTCGAAAAACACCGTCGGATTCGCCATCTCTCTCTGTCTCTCTCCCTCTCTCTCTCTTGTTCTCTCTTCTTCCGCTCGCCGGGCGATGGGGGGAGAGATTTGCGCGAGGGAGCGCGCAGAAACACGGACACACAAAGTGGGGCGCTCGCTAATGCGCGCTTCCGCTCGGCTACACGGATCGGGGGAGGAGACTACGCGGAAGGGATGGGGACGACTGAAGGGACACAGCGGAAGGTGGAGACGAAGTAACGGACGGTCACAATTTAAATAAATGAGCGCCACCTCCACCTCCACCTCCACATCCACCTTCACCACCTCCACCACCTCCACCTCCACATCCACCTCCACCTCCACCACAACCACCTCCACCTCCACTTCCCCCTTCGCTCGACGTGGAACAGAGCAACATGTGCCCGCGTAACGTAACTAACTCCTGCGTCGCTCCCCTTCGTGGAGCTCGTATGATGATGCTACCGGTAGGGTGTCGCCGCGCGGCACAGGAAAGGAGAAAAGGAATTGAGTGCATGTGTCCGGAGCAGATGGACAGGTTCATCCGGTTTCTATAAATAGTAACGAGGTGGATTTTACCACCTTTCACGGTCAAATGCACTCGATTCGTTTTGGATAGGAATTGAGTGCATGTGTTCGG